CCAGGTGTTGTTAGGGCCATGCCCCTCTGAAGGTGCTCAGGAAAGTTATGTTCTAGGCTGCTCTCCTATTTTCTTGTAGTTCCTTGATTTGTGGCAATATAACTCCCATTTCCCCATGGCAGTCTCCCTGTGTGCATATCTGTCTGTGTAAATCTTCTCCGTTTTTTCTGTTTATTTGATAGGCAAAAAGACAGAACTTCAGGCCACCAGTTCACACCCTAAATGCCCATAATTGCAGGGTCTAGGTTAGGCTGAAGTCAGGCTGGGGACCCAATCCAGATCTCTCACTTGTGTGATAACAACTCAATTACTTGAGGCATCATTGCTTCCTCTCAGTGTCTCATTAGTTGGAAGCTGGAATCAAGAGCTAGATGCTGGTACTGAGACCAAGGCATTCCATATTGATGTTTCAACAGCCCACACCAAATTTTTTCCTTTTCAAAAAGATACCAGTCATAATGGATCAGGGCCCATCCTAATAGCCTTATCTTAACTTGCCTTTATAAAGCCTTATCCAAGTAAGTCTGTTTCTGCAGTGCTGGGACTTAGGTCTTTGTCTGGGGCGAGGGGTATTTATAATTCAGCCCTAACAGCCTGGTGCCAGACATTTACTCAGTTAAGGATGTTCTCACCAATTGGGCCCCCTGGTGGACATAAAGTAAAGCCAGAATAATGCCTTATGACTTGCTAATAATTTATATTGCTTGATTTTTAGATGTGAAATCAACTGAATTTTTAAAAATGGCCTTCACTTGTTCATGCTATTATCTTTTTAAGAAACATTTCTATAATTTGTAGATAAAACAATCACAATGAAAACTAGAAAATATTTCAACAATAATAATGAAAATATAACACATCAAAATGTGAAATGCAACTAAAGCAACTTTTAGAAATATCCCAGCACTGCAGAAGTAGACTTAGTTGGTGGATAGGACCTTTATAAGGGTAACCATGTGAAGATAAGGTTTTTAGAAATGTATGGCATTACGTGTAGTATGTATGCATACCTTACAAAAGAGGAAAGATTGAAAACTAATGATTAAGCTTGAGCCGCAAGACATCGGTAAAGGAAGATGCGAATAAGGAGGGGTAAGATAGGAAGTATTCTTAAAATTGTATATATGAAATAGATGATTTGGTCCCTTTTTATTAATAAAAAAATTTACAAAGCAGTAAATTGGACTTTCAAAACAGGTAAAACAAAAAAAAAAAGAAATATCAGAGAAAGAAATCAGTGAAACTAAAAAGCATATGTAAAATTGAGAAATACCAAGTGAGATAAAAGTTCATTCTTTGATAAATAAGTAGAAATGGTAAAACACTCAGCAGAAAAAAAAGAGAAAATACTACTATATATATTTACCAGTTTTTCTTTCTTTGTAGAAGTTTTACTGAATGAAATATACCATTCAGTAGTGTTTAGCAGATTCAAAGAATTGTGTGTCTGACACTACAACGTTAGAGCATTTTCATTGCCTAGTAAAGAGATCCTATACCTTTTATCAGCCACCCCGCAATTCCTCCTAAACCCTCCACCTGTAGAAAATCACTAGTCTGCTTGTGATCTGTATAGATTTGCCTATTCTGGACAAATAAATGGAATCACTCAGTATGTGGCCCCTTGTGACTGGCTTCTTGCCTAAGCATGTTTCCAAGGCTCATCCATATTATAGCATGATATTTCGTTCCTTTGTGTGGTGGAGTAATATTATACTGTATGAATATATCCCATTTTATTTATCCATTCATTGATTGCTGGGCATTTGGGTTGTTTCCATTTTGGGGCTGTTAGGATTACTGCTGCTATGGGCAAATAGTATAACAATGTACAGGTTTTTACATGAACAATTTGTTTTTATTTATCTTTAGTATATACCTGCGAGTGGATTTCTGCATCATATGGCAACTTTATTTAAATGTTGAGACTGCCTAACAGCTTTCCAAAGCAACTGTACCATTTTCCAGTCCTACTAGCATTGTATGAAGGTTCTGATTTCTTTACATTCTTGCCAGCACTCATTATTCTCTGATAAATAGTTGTCCTATATGAAGTATTACTCCATTGTGATTTTTGATTTCCATTCCCGGATGATGGAAGATGTTGAATATCTTTTCATGTTTATTGGTTTATTGCTTATGAACTATTTGCTGAATATGAATATTGCTGGTTGTAGAAATGTCTACTCAAGTCTTTTGTCCATTTTTAAATTGACTCATTTGTGCTTTATTACTTACTTGTAGTAGTTTTTATATGAAGGTACTTCAGAAAGTTCATGGAAGATGGAATTAAAGGTTATTTTGGTGCAAAAATTTTGAATTATATATATAGTTTTAAGAAAACAGTGATTTATTTTATTTATTTAAAAGGCAGAGGTATAAAGTGAAAGAAGAACAGAGATTGATTTTCCACCTGCTTGTTCACTCCCCAAATGGCCATGATGATCAGTGAGCCAGGATCCATGAACTACATCTGAGCTTCCCACATGGGTGGCAGAGGCACAAACACTTGGGCCATCTTCTGCTGTTTTCCAAGATGGATTAGCAGGGAGCTGAATCCTAAGTGGGGCAGCTGAGACTCAACTAGTGCTCATACATGCTGGCTTCACAGGCAACAGCTTCATCCGTACCCAACACTGACCCCAGATACTATTTTAATAAAATGCACAATATGCATTAACTTTTTCAAAACCCCCAGACGTGTCGGCTTCCCAAAATTTTTCACACTAAAGTAAACACTCTTTTAATTCAATTTTCCATAAACTTTTTGAAATAGCCTTATATAATCTATACATGATTTGCAAATAATTTCTCTCATTGTGTAAATTGTCTTCCCTTTCTTAAAAATTTTTAAATTGACATATAATATGTCTGCACTTTTTTGATGGTAGCTGCTTGCTAATGATTCTTACAGTTATTAATCCATATGTGCCTAGTTATAAATGTACTCTTTTCCTTACTTGTTTATTTTCTCCTTTTCTTCCATATCTCTGTACTTACCTTCCATTCATCTACTACGTTTATTCTTACATTTTTTTAAAGATTTATTCATTTATTTGACAGGTGGAATTAGAGAGGCAGAGTCAGAGAGAGAGAGAGAGGGAGAGAGAGAGAGAGATCTTCTATCCTCTGATTCACTTGCCAACAGCCGCAACGAGTAGAGTAGGGCTGATCAGAAGCCAGGAGCCAAGAGCCAGGAGCCTCCTCCAGGTCCCCTGTGTGGGTGCAGGGGCCAAAGGACTTGGGCTGTTTCCGCTGCTTTCCCAGGCCGTAGCAGAGAGCAGGATTGGAAGTGGAGCAGCCGGGTCTCAAACTGGCACTCATATGGGATGCCAGCACTGCAAGCGGCGGCTTTACCCACTGTGCCACAGTGCTAACCCCTACGCTTTTATTTCTCTTTATCATTTTCTTTATTTACTTTTTTTCATGTTCCTATAGCTTCCTCAGGTTGTATGAATCTTGTATTGAGAGGGAAAACTAGTCCCCCTTTCCTTGCTTGTTCCTGGTGATTGTTCTAGCATAGACTGTACTCATCAATTTTTAATTACATAAATCCAATAAATAATGAAAATAAACACACAGGAAGGATTAAGGTTTCTTTTTTGTCTTAAGTTTAAAATTCCTTTATTTTTTATTCCTGGTACCACTGCCGTGATTTGTAGGACAATACACTTGATGAAATAAAAAGACAAAGCTACAAGAAATAAAAGACCTCAGCACTGTACATCTAATTAATGATACATTGCATTGATCAACAGCTGTACTTTTTGCAAACTGTGGTTATGATAGTCCTGAACAAGAAGAGTTTCCTGTTACACCTGTAGTCCCTTTCCTGCCTGTTGGTCATTGTTCCTTCTGTGGCAGATTTTCACAGTTCCTCTACTGCATGTGGGGGATGCATGTCTCAAACTAACCTGCAGCTTTCCTGACAACTCCTCACTCTGTCTCCTGCTAAGAATGGCAAACCTTTTCTACTGTTTTTAGAACCTCGTGCTGCCATATCCGATTCTACCAAAACTGCCCCCTTTCAGTGGGTCCATTTGTAATTTGTAAAATTTGTTGTGCATTGTAATTTCCAAAATCATTGTTTCTGCCACCACTGTAATTACCACCATTGAAATTTTCTCCTTCATCCTAATCATCATATTCTTTTCCATTTCCATACTGACCTCTTTGGTTTCCATATCAGCCACCTTGGTTTTTCCATATCCTGGTTCACACAACTATGGTATCCTCTCCTGCTCTAACCAGGACCACTTCTGTAGTTGTCATCATCACCTCCAAGTCATTGCATCCACTAGCACCTCCTCCATAACTGCTTCTGCTGCCATTACCTCTACCACATAGCCGCCTCTTCCACCAGGTTTCCACCATAGCCAAAAGTACCTTCACCACCTCCAAAGTTTCTCGCATGAAGTTGCCAGACCCAATTCTGTGAATTCTGTGCTCTAACACATATTTTGTTTAGAAATGACCTTTTCACTTCATAACCATGCCAGTTAATAGCATGATATTTCTGAACATTTAAGTACCATCATCAAGAGATAGAAAAATTCTCTATTTTTTGTATTCTATTTTTCATAACTTCTGTGGTTTCAGTCTTGCTATACTTTTCAAAGTAGTCTCTCAAGTTATATTAGTCTATATTTTCTTCAATGCCACCAACAAAAATTTCTTCAGTGTTAGATGGGAACCAGGCTTTTACAGAATCTTCTCTAGAAACAGCTCTCTTTGGTTCCATTACACACTCATCAGTCTTGTGTGGTCTAGCACACATTGTGGCATCTACCTCCAACAAAGAATAAGTCATGGTTTCCTTAACAGCTCTGGTGCCTTTGGATTGTGGCTGTCCATTTTGAGACCAAATCTACCACTTCCACCTCTGGATTAAAGTTTCAAAATTACATAAAGTGTACTGCTTGCTCCTCTTATAAGATCAGTTTGCATTAAGTCTATAATTAAGCAGATATTCTTTTTAAACTTTTCTTCTTTTTTTAAAGGTTCAAAATGGATGGTATAGAAGAACCTCAGAAAAAAGTCTTTAAGGCTCGTAAAACCATGAGAGTGAGTGATCGTCAACAGCTTGAAGCAGTCTACAAGGTCAAAGAAGAACTGTTGAAAACTGATGTCAAGCTGTTAAACGGCAACCATGAAAATGGAGATTTAGACCCAACCTCGCCTTTGGAAAACACAGATTATATTAAAGACAAGGAAGAAGTGAATGGCATTGAAGATACTTGTTTTGACCCTGAAGAAAGTAAAACAGAATGGAAAGAAACACCGTGTAATCTAAATGTTAATGTAAAAAACAAGCAGGACGATGATTTAAATTGTGAACTCTTGTCTCCTAGTAATGCAACCTCTGAACCAGCCTCTAAACTGACCGCTGAGCTAGCGTCTCATGATCCAGCTTCTGCTGATCTGACTCCTGGCGATCCAGCTTCTGGCGAGTCCACCTCTGGCGAGTCCACCCCTGGTGATCCTTCCTGTGGTGAAACTGCTTCTGGTGATCTCTCCTGTGGTGATCCCGCCTCTGGTGATCCCATCTCTGGTGAGCCAGGTAAACCAGTCTCTGTTGAACCGGACTCTGGGGAGCCAGTCCCTGACAAACTGGCCTCTGGTGAGCCAGCCTCCGGTGATCCAGCTTCTTGTGGTGATCCAGCATCTTGTGGTGATCCAGCTTCTAGTAAACCTGCCTCTGATGAACTGACCTCTGGTGACCTGGCCTCTGGTGACCTGGTCTCAAGTGACCTGGCCAAGGGTGACTTGGCCTCCGGTGAACTGGCCAAGGGTGAATTGGCCTTAGGTGACCCAGCTTCTGGTGACCCTGTATCTAGTGAATTGACCTCTAATGAACTAACTCCTGAATCAGCCCTTGATTCCAACTTGGATCCAAGCTCTGTACCAGATTGTGAACCATTTCCTGAAACAGACAATGCAAAGCCAAGCAGCAATAAAGATGATTTTCTTGAAAAAAATGAGGATGATGAAAAGTTAGACCAAATTCAGAATAAGGACTCAATTGATGAGAAAAATAAAGCTGATAGTAATAGTGATGCTAATGAAGAAACTGTAGAAACAGATGACACAGTGATTTGTTCAAATCTACCTCCTGAAAATGAAAAGAAGGTAGAGGAAGGTCCTTTTACAGAGCTTGCTCTTGGAGAAGAGACCATATCTAGCAGTATGGAAATTGACCAAAGTGAAAAGAATGAAGATGAAAATTCTGCAGACCTTATAGAAACTATTAGTGAAAATGTTATAAAAAATGACAAAAATGAGAATATCTTAGAAAATACAGATTCTATGGAGACAGATGAAATCATTCCTATTTTGGAAAAGCTTGCACCTGCTGAGGATGAACTTACCTGCTTTTCCAAAACGTCTCTCCTTCCAATTGATGAGGCAAATCCAGATTTGGAAGAGAAAATGGAAGCTTCTTTTGGTTCCCCATCCAAACAAGAAAGTAGTGAGAGTTTACCAAAAGAAGCCTTTTTGGTCCTCTCTGATGAGGAAGATATTTCAGGTGAAAAAGATGAATCTGAAGTTATATCACAAAATGAAACATGCTCTCCAGGTTAGTAGATTATTTACATTCTAAAGATTATTCTTAATTTTAATGAACTGTTTAAAACCATTTGGGCTAAGTTTTAAATTGCCTTTAGTTGCAAGAAAGCTGAGAATGGTGGTGACTGTATTGAAGGCTCTGTTAACTTCCTAGAATTGAGAATTACAGAGTACTTATACTCTGAGCAGCACTGTGTTATGTGCTGAGAAGAGTGATAAAATAAGTAGAAAAAATGAACCTTGCCCGTAAGGGGTATTATAGTCTAGAAACAGAGATAAGGTAGATCAACATAGCAGTAAGACAGCAGTGTAGATCAGTACATTGTAAGAGTCCTAACAGTTGTTTTTTCTTGATGTCACTTAGTGAACAGATAACTTAGAGTAGAAACCCTGCTAGTTTGTTAGTAGTGTAACAAATCATATTTCTGTTAATGTTCCCTGTAACATCTTTAATATTCTCTTTTGAGGGAATGAAACCATTTTTGAAAGCCAGAAACCTTGAATTCTGATGATCTATTCTTGACTCATTTTTCCCTCAGCTGTCTGGATTCTATCCAGCCTGCTCCTTTTTCCCTTTTCTTTTGAGTAATCTCCCTACACCCAAATCTCTTATTTGATTGTATCCCTCTTTCTCATTAGACCTCTGTTATATTTCAGTTAATTTAAACATTATATAGGAGGTATGTAAACTTTGTGTTTTGTGTTCAGTACCTTCCTCTCATCTCTTTCATTATTCCTAGAGAATGAGAACAATCCTGCTTTATTTTCAGTCTCAAACATTATTTCTTTATGAAACCTTAGTCTCTCAGATGGTTATAACTGCAAAGGTGCTTCAGAAAGTTTATGGAAAATATAATTAAAATATATGTTTATTTTGGCACAAAAAATTTGAAGTCCGTGTATATGAGGGCTCTTCAGACAGCTCATGGGAAATGTGGACTATGAAAAAAAAATTTAGCAGGGATTTCAAAATTTTTTTACCAAAATAAACTTATCCCTTAATTCTACTTTCAGCAGACTTTTTGAATTACATTCTGCTACACTGGGAGATGTGAGAGGAGTGACCTTCCTAGTATGAAACAGCATGGGCTTTCTAGTTAAGTACTAAAAAAAAAAAAAAAATTGGAGGCACCTCTAGGAAATACAGAGGGAATTTGCCCCCAGTATGTCAGACCAACTTTTGGAGTTGGAGGTTTTTTCTTATTAAGAGATGACTTTTTATTTCTAAGAGCATTTACTGAACCTTTAGAAAGAGATTGGCCAAGCCCTGCTTGGTACCAGGGATTTGAAGATAAACATTTAGTACCTTCAGAATGCAGATAAGATTTACATCATAGGGCATTAAATATAAGGCTATGAATACAGTGATAATATTCAATTGGTATTCTGAGAGCATAGAGGAGGGCAGTTTTATGTGATAGTACAAGATGTATTTAGGAAAAGCCTTGCCTTTCATTTTTGGTTTACATAGGGTTTTAATGACTCCTTGTAGTGACAGCTCCATCCTACTTGCTTGGACCAGAATACTTAGAACCTTCTTTATATTTGTGTCTCATATCCCATATCTAAACCATTAGGGAATCTTGTTGATAGTATATTCAGAATAGATCCGGAATCTAATTTATAATTGGTATCATCCCTACCCTGAACCACTGTCATGAAGCCAAAACAGTGCCTGGTACACAGTAGGCACCCTGTACATATTTGTAGAGAGAATAAATAATAGTATAAGAGAAGTATAACGTGTGGAAGATCTTGTTTACAATGTGAAAGCATTATGATGCACTGGAGAGCCACTGAAAAAATAGAAGAGAATGTTATGAAATTTACATTTTGAAAACATAACAGGTAACTATTTAGGGTAAACTCTCACTCATTCAATTAATATTTACAGAATGTGGCATTGGGACAGGTTTTAGAAAACTTTATAATCTGTATAAGAAAAGAAAGTCATAACAAATTATAGCTTATGATTTAATGAGTTTATACATTTTTACCTTTATCAAAATCTTGATATTGGAGGTTACAACGAAACACTGTTAAGTGTAGGCAGATGAATAGTAAGCCAGTCATGTTGCATTCTTGGAAAACTCAAAGTTAGGTTTACTTTTGGTAACTTGCCTTCATTTAACCTGATAGTATGCTATTAGCATAGCAAGGTTAGTGATAGAGTTCACTTCTTAGCTGATAACTAAACTTTTATTTTGTGTCTTTTGCCCTTTCTCTGAAAGAGTTTTTATATATTGTGAGTTTAAATATGGTTCCTTCATTGGTTCTTAAGGTATACTCTGTTATTGTTATATGGCAACAGAATCTGTTACTTGTTGCTTGTGTTGCTGTGTACCTCCTGAAGTTTTAGCTTTAGCAGTTTCTTTTTCTTGACTAAGTTTTCACATCAGCACATCACAGAATTATAAACTGAAGTCCTGATGTTTGCCCTGGCTCTCCTTATAGCTACTAACATTTATATCGTATACTAATGGGAAAACATCATAAACCTGTTCTGTCAGACATTTGTTTAACAAATTTATTCTAAATGTAGCAGTTATGCTGTGTATGAGCAGCAACAAAAAACAATAAAAAATATCAAAAATAACCAACTATTTCAATTTTAGAAAAATAATGAATTAAAAAAGTATTGCTGATATACCTTAATAGGTCTTGAGATAGTATCATATTGTTGCATACTACCATGTAGTAATTGATTGTCTGTTTAAGAAGGCTAGCAAAGTAAATATTTCTCTCTCTATGGGAAAGTTAAAATAACAGCAGGAGAGATGCATATATTAGTCACACTTTCCATGTGCTTTCCATACCTACACATTCCTCTAGATACGTTTCTCTCACGTTAACAAAGCTAATACCATTTCATTTTTTTAACTCTTCAGCTTTAATTGGATTTTGATTTCTGCTTCTCCAGTCACCCTCAATGAAATGACATTGATGGTCTTGCTGTTCAATACAAGGACTTTTTTTTTTAAGATTTATTTATTTATTTGAAAGGCAGAGTTACAGAGAGGCAGAGGCACAGAGAGAGAGAGAGGTGTCTTCCATCCACTGGTTCACTCCCCAGGTAGCTGCAATGGCTGGATCTGAACTGATCTGAAGTCAGGAGCCTGGAGCTTCTTCCTGTTCTCCCTTGCAGGTAAAGGGGCCCAAGCACTTGAGTCATCTTCTACTGCAGCACTGCAGGCAATGGCTTTATCCGCTATGCCAAAGTGCCTGCCCCAGATACCTCTTTTCTTTCCTTTGTCTTACCTGTTCTCATACTTGATGGCCTTTTAATAGTCTCTCTCTCTTGTGACTCTCCCTAGCTTTTTGGACTGCTTTGTTCTCTATTTCCCTTCTTTTTTTGCTCCATTTCACTCTCTTTTTCTTTTAAAAAATGTCCCCCTTCCATTTTATTTTAAAGATCTCCCATTCCTTGGTTCACTCTCCAGAAGCCTGTAACAGTTGAGGCTGGGCCAGGCAGAAGCCAGGAGCCAGGAACTAAATCTGGGTCTCCCATGTGGGTGGCAAAGACACAAATACTTGAACCATCATGCCATCTCCCAGGGTGTGCTTTAGTAGGAAGCTGGAACTGGACGAGGAAGTGGGACTGAAACCCAGGCATTCTGATATTGGGTGTGGGTCTCCCAAGCAGCCTCTTAGCCTCAGTGCAAATGCCTGCCCCTTGTTCTATTTCTTTCTTTTTTTTAAAAATTTTTTTTGACAGGCAGAGTTAGACAGACAGAGAGAGAGAGAGACAGAGAGAAAGGTCTTCCTTTGCTGTTGGTTCACCCCCCCAAATGGCTGCTATGGCTGGTGCATTGCGGCCGGTGCACTGTGCTGATCCAAAGCCAGGAGCCAGGTGCCTTCTCCTGGTCTCCCATGCGGGTGCAGGGCCCAAGCAGTTGGGCCATCCTCCACTGCACTCCCGGGCCACAGCAGAGAGCCATACTGAAAGAGGGACAACCAGGACAGTATCCGGTGCCCCGACCGGAACTAGAACCCAGTGTGCCGTCGCCACAGGCGGAGGATTAGCCTATTGAGCCACGGCACCAGCCATCCTTGTTCTACTTCTTATAGAGAAATAGAAAGGATAGAATTCCTTCCCTTGCAAAACAAGAATACTGTTTCTCAATAAGTTTTATGAGAAATATCTGTTTTAGAGTTGGCTGGGTTTTCCATTAAATTCTTGACATAGTTTCCTATAGATTTTGAGTTTTTAAAAATCTGTTTCCTTCCCCCTTGCCTTTGTGTCTGTAAGGTAAGATGAACATAAAATGATGCTAATGAGGATAATTTTATAGGAAAAGAATTTGGAGTTTATTCCTATTTTTGCTCTAGGACAGCATGATTGAATTGACACAACTTAGTCAACCAGAAATCTTTACTTAATGTATGCTAAACTGATCTTCTGTATATAAAGAGAATCGAAAATGAATCTTGATGTGAATGGAAGGGGAGAGGGAGTGGGAAAGGGGAGAGTTGTGGGTGGGCGGGACGTTAATGGGGGAGAAGCCATTGTAATCCATAAGCTGTACTTTGGAAATTTATATTCATTAAATAAAAGTTAAAAAAAAAAACTTAGTCAACTAAAATTTGCTGATAATTTGCCTTCACTATTATGTTGATGTGTTTATCATTTCAATGCATTTATATTTATCTATTTCTTATGTATTTTCCTTTCTGGAGTCTCTTAGCCCTACAGTCTGGTTTTGCAAATCTTTCTTTTCAGAATTGAGGAAGACTAAAGGCAGGGTTTGGACACAGGAGTATAGGAGATTAGTTTCAAGTAACTCTTTTTTTTGACAGGCAGAGTGGACAGTGAGAGAGAGCTAGAGAGACAGAGAGAAAGGTCTTCCTTTTGCCGTTGGTTCACCCTCCAATGGCCGCTGCGGCAGGCACGCTGCGGCAGGCACGCTGCGGCCAGCGCACTGCGCTGATCCGAAGCCAAGAGCCAGGTGCTTCTCCTGGTCTCCCATGCAGGTGCGGGTCCCAAGCACTTGGGCCATCTTTCACTGCACTCCCGGGCCACAGCAGAGAGCTGTCCTGGAAGAGGGGCAACTGGGACAGAATCCGGCGCCCCGACTGGGACTAGGACCCGATGTTCTAGGCGCCGCAGGTGGAGGATTAGCCTATTGAGCCGCGGCGCCAGCCTCAAATAACTCTTTTCTCACAATTTGCATGCATCTGTGAATGTCACAGACTATATAGGAAAATTTAGGAGTGACTAGCATATAGACATTAGTTGAAGTCAAGTGAGAAGATGAGATCACCTCACAATGAGTATAAATGGCTAAAAAAGAAGATTCAAGAACTGAGATTTTGGCATTCCAATGTTTAAAGGTTGAGGGGTGGTGGGATGAGTAATGAGCAACAGAAACATTCATTTTAACAGATGTCAAATGCTGCTATGTGTTCAAGTAGGGGGAAGAAAATATTTTATAATCTGGAGATCACTGGGGACTTTGACAGGGGCAATTTTGATCAGTGGTTGGAGTGGAAAGTCACATTTGGGTTTCAGAAAGAATGGGAGGGAAAGAATGGGAGAAAATTACTAAATGTAACCCCCCCAACCCGTGCCACAGTTTTGCTTTAAATGGGAGTATTAAAATTTTAGTAGGAGATATTGTTTGCAACTTGTATTGCTTAAATAAAACTGAAAAACTTCTGGAAGAGTTACATTATTAACCAGATATTTTCTGGAAAAATTTTCTGGTACATCTTTATGACTTTGAGAATTGTATGTTTATTGACTTTTTATATTTCTTTGTGAATTACCTGTTCATTTCCTTTCCCATTTTTCTGATGGCAAAGTTCCCACTATCTCTAATTTGTAGAAACTTCTTGTTTTGTTTTAAATATTCTCATGAGGCCAGTAATGTAACATAGGGGATTGTGAGATATGGCATGTGGGCCTCATCTGGTTTTGAGAATAAAATTTTGTTGGAACATACCCAGGCCATTTATTTACTTATTACCTATTTATTGCTGATTCCTGCCACAAGGAGAGAATTAAATACTTATGCTGGAGTCTGTGTGGCCTGCAAATTAAAAATATTTTTTCCCATTTAGATAAAGAAGTTTGCCATCCTCTGACAATGATTGTTGTCTGTGTTTTCCTTAGAATAAAATTATCTGAGGTATGGTTCTGAAAATGGGAAACTAAGTGCCCCAGTATAAATTCTTTTAATCCTTTACAAACCAGGTTTCTGTCTTTACTCAATGAAATCTTACTAAAGCTAATAATTGTCAGATAGATATTAAACAACTAATTTTTCTATGATATTTCTCAAAAGTTTTTAAGGTTACCACAATTATAAGATTTGATACCAAGGAATACTGTACACCGAACTATGAGAATTTATCAACTTGTGATGAAGAATTATAGCAGAAATTTATCTGAATAAGGACAGATGCTAAAAAGATATTCCCAAGTAATGTATTTAGATGAGTTTCAGAAGTTTTATGAACTACCTGAAATTACATGTATATATAAAATTGTCTGTGTACAGTGGCCTTTGATTATTATTCTAGGTTTAAGCATGTCTATTCTCAGATTCTCTATTTTTCTTATCCCAAGTTTTTTCTATTACATAAAAGTCTAGCATAAAGTTTAATTCTATGAGTCAATTCTGAAATCCGAATGAGTGTTTTAAGTATTAGGAATCCAGTCATATCTTCTAGGGAATTAGGCAAGGGGAGACAGCTTTTGAGTAAAATGAAGCAAATCCTTACATACCTGTAAGAAGACAGGGGAATAATATGCTTAAAAGAGACACAACAAACCTGGCCAACTTATTCTGCTTTCCTCTGGGTTCTCTGGCTACAGTTAGCAGAATTGGAGGCTTGGCAAATTTTGTGCTTTGTCTCAAGCAATGGAATTACTTTGTGGCTCTAAACTCTGGGACTAGGAGACACATGAGTTACCAACCCTGAGTATTAAAACTGGGGGAGATTCAGAAAAATATTTAGAGAAAGAAATATGTTGGGAGTTTCTGATCTGTCTACAAGAAAGCAAAAGCATTCATTCATTCTATTAAAATTTAGGATTGAGAGATGAAATCATTAACAGATTGAAAGTTCAAAGACAATATTAGTACTATTTATGTAAAATGTTGGCTTTATTGTTTTATCTTAGAGTGAATAAAATATTTGTAGAACTTGGTAGATTCATCAATGGTCCTGATGGTCTCTGCCTATTTTTACCTTTAAACTTGACTTCTGCCTTTAGAGCTAGTGTGTAAAAACTGTGATGTTTGGAGAAGAAATGTCATATTAAAATGATTATGTAGTGCTTCATGCCTTGTGATTGCTTATTTAATAAGAGTTACAGAATGTGATGAAATATAGCATGCTTTATTGGCGTCACCGGGAGCCAGTTGTAGTGATATAAGGGGAAAACAAGTAGAAGTTCAAATATTTTAGTGACTTATTATAGCCATGTTATGACCCATTTAATGATTAAGTTAATTGAAGAGACATGTGGTATGTTTTTAGAAATTTCATGCAGAAACAGAATTAAAAGTATGAGTTTATTTTATGCAAAAACAATGTTTTTATATTATATGGAAAATGTGTATTAGGGAAAGAACTATGCCTGGATTTCAGGTTGTTTTTTTTTTCCCCAGTACCAAAATAAATTCCATTTTTTCCATCAGCTTTCTGAGTACTTCTGTAGATTGACCAAAGGACATTTCTGATACTTGGATTTTACTTGTTTTAATATAAATACATGGACATTTTTGGCAATATTTTTTGATAGCACTCTTTATTTTTATATGTGTATGTGAAATTTACTTAGCCTTTCTTCCCTTGTCTATATGATGGCAAAAAGTACTACTTACAGGATAGGATTATACTGCAGCCATGAGATAACGTATGTTAGCTACCCATCTCAGTTGTTAGCATTGTTATCAAACTGGGTATGATTTTTAAGTGAAACTTTCATTATGTTTAGGATAGCTTTTGCATTCTCATTTATGAACTATCCTATAACCATTAAAATTATTTAATGGTTCAACCTCTTTGGTCAAAACATTTTGAATTTGCCAGTAGTTGGTAATTTTTTGTAATTATCACAGCCACAATTTTAGTTTTAATAATTAAATGTAAAGGAATCTATATCCTTACAGTAGTTGTTTTTACATTTCATTAATCTTATTTGTGATAGAAAATTACTAAGATCCTTTGTTTTCTAACTGATACTGTGAATTTTTTTTTCCATGTTGAGTTTATTATGAATTGCAGAAACGTTGAAAGTAGACTTGGTCATTTATTTCTACCAGTTTATTCTCCCATTTTATTCCTAAAATGACACATTTTGGAACTCTGATTTCATGAAAGCTTAGTCTGGTAACTTGATAATTACCAATAATGTAAATTACTGAGTTGATACAAATTCTAATGGAAGTAAGATTTTCTTTTGCATTATTGTTGCAGCAGAAGTAGAAAGTAATGAAAAGGACAGTAAACCTGAAGAGGAAGAAGAACAAGTGATAAATGAAGAAGATGAAAGACCTGAGAAAAGTATGCATGTACCAACAAACTTGAACTAGTTTGGAAAATAATAACATGTTCTTTTTTTTTTTTCTTTAAGGCCATCAAGTATACTTTTCTACCTTTCCGATCATTCTAAAATTTTGCAATTTAAATAATCTATAATTAAATCATTTGGGGAGTATTAATTATATAATTCTGTGTTATTTATGAATATGTTTTCATTGTTTTACAGGAAAGATTTGGCTTAAGCTTTACTAGGGTACTTGGTTTTTATGAGATTTTTTTTTAAAGAAACAGACTTTATTAAAAACATTTTTTTGAATTTATTTTCATTTTACTTAAAAGGCAGAAAGATAGGGATTCTTCCATCCACTGGCTCACTCCCTATATCCCCACAACAGCTAAAGCTGGGCCAGGCCAAAATCAAGAAACCAAACCTCAATCCAGGTCTTCCATATAGTTGGTAGGGACCCAAGTACTTGAGCCATCGTTGTTGCCGCTTAGGGTACACATAAGCAGGAGGCTGAATCAGAAGCAGAGTAGCAAGCTCTTTAACCGGGCACTGCAAAATGGGATGCAGCATTCCAAACAGCAACATAAACTGCTGCACCGAGTTTTTGACCCAAGAAATTGTCTTAGATTTAAATTTAGAGAATGGAACTACAGGATTTTATCTGTGCTGGTAATATGTGAATGGAAATATGTGTAGTAGTCTATGTAAGGCTCTTAAGTTTCATGGGAAGGGGAAATGGTCAGACCAAAGTATGTTGAGTTTACAGAAAGAGCATTGGACTTAGGAGTCAGGAACCCTGGATTCTGTAAGTCTTGTTGTTACGCTGCTCTGCATTTATGTATGTTATGATTATGAGAGAAGTGGTAGAAAAGAACTGTGTTTAAAAAATAGGCACATTGATGAAAGTATAGAATGAGAAGGACACGGAAAGGTTTGATCACATAGACCATTTTTCAGTGTTTTAGATACTTACAATAATCAGATAATTTGACCTCATGAATGATGTATTTCGAAAGCAGTTTTCTCAGTGAAGATCTTTGAGTCTAAGCTTTATCAGATGTACTTTTGTAATGATTATACTTTTATTATGTTTATATATTTGAAATTTATTGGGCTATATTATAAATATTATGCTATTTTCCTGAGTCTGCTAATTAAGAATTTTTCCATATTGAGGATTAAAAATTAAATAGCTTAATATGCAAAGTTAGAATCTGACATGAAAATTAATATTTTGTCAGACGTTACATGTACATTATGAAATGTAGCAAAAGAATGAATGTGAGATAATTTCAGCTACCTTGTGCATGACACAATTGCTAGGCAATTCTCCATTTTAATAGGAAAATTTTAAGGAAAAAAATGTTCTGTGCTCTCAGTATACTTTGCTTAGCTATTAGAAAAATCTTATTTAGCATATTAAAAAGTCATTTCAAGTTTAAAGCTAAACTATATACCTACTTTTCTGATCTCAAAAACAATTCATAAAATTGCTTGAGAATGCTATTGTGATAGAAGTAGTATTGTACCAAAGATGGAGAACAGGTATTTAAAGGCCTATAATAAAAATGCCCAGCTGAACATCATGATTTTTGTTCTCAGATGAATTTTCCAGAAGAAAACGTTCTAAATCAGAGGACATGGACAATGTACAGTCCAAACGCCGCCGATATGTGGAAGAAGAATATGAGGCAGAATTTCAAGTAAAGATTACAACCAAAGGAGACATTAACCAGAAGCTTCAAAAGGTATTGTAGATTATGAGTTAAAGACCATATTGAATAAAAAGCGCCAATGTCTTTATTTTTCTAGGTTGTTGACATTACAGTATTCTGTATTTTATTGACATACCTGTTTTCTTATGGAAAGAAAACTTGAAGAAAAGTAATTGAGCTTATAAAGTCTATTATTTTCTGTGATAATTTAATTTTTAAATTTCTTCTGATTCTCTTGGTTACATAATTTTTTAAAAGAAATGGTAGTGATTATCAAAATGGGAGGGAGATATGATGAATTCTTTATTTGCTTTATTAACAAGTGAATGTAATTTTTTAGCTTTTCTTTTTTGTTCATGTATTAGACTTTTTCTTATAGTAAAAAGGAAACAGTATTATCTATTAACATTTTAATCTTTATGATAAACTGATTTCATGGTTGTAATTTCATATATTCAAAATGTTGTATGTATACTTTGGTATTGATATTAAAATTGAAGGGCAGGGCCTTAAAAGGACTAGGGAAAAGGAATATGTAAAGTACAAACTTTGAAAGCCTCAAACCTATTAAACTAAAGATAGAGAAAATGGAAATACTCAGTATTTTATATAGGCAATTTTTGAAAGTGTGTTAACAAACATAACATGCCTTTTGTAGAGAGGAATATGAAACTTGGGTGTTAAGTTTTTGCAAGATCTTGTATTCTCAAACTTAATGATTATATTATAAAAAGCAGAGTTTTGGGCCAAGGCTTTTCTGCCAAGAGATAGTACAAGTATTTTTACTTTTTTGGAAAAGGTATAGTGAGTCAGTAAAAAAGTGGCATTTTTTTCCTACCAGTTTCTTTTTCTTTGGCATATGGTAATAATATTTGCCAGTTTTTCTTCTGGAGTTACTAGATTTTTGAAGGTACATACTTGAAAGAATTTTGAAAACTTTAGGTGTACTGAGAGTGTATGGTTTACATTCCAGGGTCCTGTTTGTTGTGGGACCATAATGAATAAAATGGAAAATTTTAAAAAGATTTCTTTGTTTGGAAGGCAGAGAGAGGGAGAGAGAGAGAAGAGAGAGAGAGAGAGAGATCTTCTGTCTGCTGGTTCACTCCCCAAATGGTCAGAACAGTCAGGTCTGGGCCAGGCCAAAACCAGTAACCAGGAACTCTGTCCTGGTCTCCCACATGAGTAACAGGATCCCAAGTACTTAGCAAGAAGCTGGATCAGATGTGGAGCAGCAGGGATTTGAACCAGCACTCTGATAAATCATGCCAGCCTTGCAAGTAGCAGCTTACCTGTGCACCACATTGGAAAATTTGATAGGCATTTAGAAATGTTCTATAGGAATTTGACATTGTAGTAATATATCTAAAATACTGATCTGTAACAGATTATAAAATTTAAAAACTGGTCCTTTCTTTTAACTGGTTTTAAGTGGGTTAAGCTTGCAAAGGGGGTATTGTGAGGACTTCACATTATTTTCAAAATTTCGAGGCCAGCGCTGTGGTACAGCAGGTTAAGCTGCTGTCTGCGTGCTAGCATCCTATACAGGTACCAGTTCAAGTCCTGGTTGCTCCACATCTGATCCAGCTCCCTTCTAATGTGCTTGGGAAAGCAGCAGAAGGTGGCCCAAGTGTTTGGGCCCTATACCCACATGGGAGACCCAGATGAAGCTCCTGGCTTTGGTCTGGCCCAGCCGTGGCCATCTGGGGAATGAACCAGCAGATGGGAGATTTATTTATCCTTTTCTCTCTGTAACTCTTTCAAATAAATAAATACATAAATAATAAATTTTAGAAAAATTTCAAAATTTCACCCCATGGAAAGTTTGCTTTTGTTATAAATTACTCTCATGAGGTAGATATTATCTATGTGGAAGTACAGAATTTTACTTAAGAATACTATTTGCAGTTGGCTGAAATGCCTTCTTTTGGATAACAGGATTTTATATTTCTTTAGGTTATACAGTGGTTACTAGAAGAAAAGTTGTGTGCACTACAGTGTGCTGTGTTTGATAAGACTTTGGCAGAATTGAAAACAAGAGTGGAAAAGATTGAATGTAACAAGAGGCATAAGACAGTTCTTACTGAACTACAGGTTTGTACACTGACTTGCATTTGGATACCCCATGTCTCATTCTTTTTATAAATTATTTTCTGGGATATATACTTGAAATTGATTATGAAATACATTTCAATTGTAAATATAGCAAATAAAAGGAATCTGTATTAGCTTGTTAGAGCTGCTATGAAAACAAAGTACCACGGACTAAGTGGCTTAAACAATGGAAATGTATTGTCTCACATTACATTACATGGTGGCTAGATCAGGAGGTCGGTAGGACTGGCTCTTTCTGAGGGTTGGTGCTGTAAGAAGATTCTGCTCCATGCCCCTTCTATAGCTTCTCCTGGTTTGCTGACCATCTTTGGTGTTCCTTGGCATGTATGTGCTCACATAATGTTGTCCCTGTATTTGTCTGTGTCCAAATTTCCTCTTCATATACGGATACCAGTCACTTGAGTAGGGGCTTACCCTACTAAATAGGACCTCATCTTCACTGATTATCTCTGTCATGACCTTGTTTCTGATTAAGGTCACATTCTGAGGAACTGGAGGTTCTGACTTAAATATGTTAACTTTCAGTTCAACCCATAGCAGAGACTCAAAAATCATTTTAGTGCATCTTCAATTTTTTAAAATAAATAACTAAAAAATAGGCTGACTTGTGGTATGACCTAATAAGTACCAAATAACATTTTGTGGGCTTCATTTTTTTTAATCTTTCTCCCATGAATCTTTTTTTAAGACATTAGTTTATTCTCCACATGTAGTAATAATTGTTAATCTTCATTTTTTAAGTATGGCTGTAAACATACAATGTCAGAGCTTCTGGTTAGTGAAATGAGCATAAGGAGACATGCAATAGCAGTCTATTTTATTCCTAAGCCAAGAACATGGAACTTGTAATTGGTACATTCATTCTGTTAAAAGTAAATGTGTGCTATTAGTGTAGTCTAAAGATGCCGAGTTGTAAATCTGAAGCACCTCTTAGTAGTCATTTCACATATGTAGTGTGTTACCAAGTGACAATGTTTTTTTCCTAAAAAATTCATCTCTTGATTCCTCTCTTTCTAGGCCATTGTTAGGGGATTCCTTGAATATAGTAAGAGTCTTTTACATGACTACTCTCGTATTATTGTGTTTTTGCTGCTCCTTCCTAAGTATTGCGCTGATCTCTCTGAAATTCTGCATGTAGTCCAGAGTCTGCCATTGTGTGCCAAACTAGTATCCATTTTCTACTTTTTAAAATTTAGATCGCTTAGCTTTGGATCCACTTTCCCTAATACGCACCAGTTCTTTCATTGTCTTACAGAGTATTAATGTCTGTAGTATGTGTATATGAGGCTTTCAACTTCATATTGTTTCTGTTACTCTCTCACAATGACTTGTCACAATGCTATTTAGTTAAATGTTTTGAAGCTTGATTTAGTTCCATCTTTATTCTAATATTTTTATTTCTATAGAAATAAAATTCAGATAATGAAATAGTTAGGCTTAAGAATACTTCTACAGCTGCTTGTATATCCACAGTTGTGTTAACCATCATCTCTAGTGCCAGAACATTTTTGTCATTTTGAAACCTGTGCTCACTGAAGAGTCACTTCTCATTTCTCCCTCCGCCGTAGCCCTTGGAAATCTCTAAAATGCTTTCTGTCTCTGTTGATTTACCTATTTTGCATGTTTCATACAAACTGCATTGGATTGCATGTGAGATTTTCTCTGGCCTCTTTCACTCAGCATAATACTTTTCAGGGTCATCCACATTGTAGCCTGTGTTAATACTTGATTCTTTTTTATGGCTAGATAATATTCCATTATGTAGATATATATGAGGGCATTTTTTTTTAAAGTTCGTGGAAAATGGAATTAAAAAAGTTAGCTTTGGTACAAAAGTTTTTTGAAATGCATAGTTTTTTCACAATATGCATTTTTTGTGGAATTTTTGATGCCTCTCCCCAAAATGAATGGATTTCAAAATTTATTGTACCAAAATAAACTTTATATTTTAATTGTATTTTCCCCAGTCTTGAAGTACCCTTGTATATATGCCACATTTCGTTATGCATTCATTTGCTGATGGGCATTTGGGTTTGGTTTTTCCTAACTTTTTGAATATTATAATTTGGCAATTCCAGCAATCAGATTTTTTTCCACCCCTCCTAGCTTTTTTTTAATTTTAATTTTTATTATTTTTAACTTATTTTTAAGGAATACAAATTTCATAAGTATAACTTTAGGAATATAGTTATTTTACCCACCATATCAGCCCTCCCACGCATATTCCCACCCCTCCTCCTCCTCCCTCTCCCCTTGCCAGTCTCATTCTCCATTAAGATTCAACCCTCTTAGCTCTTTTGTTTTCGCTGCTTATTATGGCTTATTGTTTGTTTACTGGCTTTTCAATTTTAACTTTCAAACTCTACCCCCATCCTCACCCCTCAACTGTCTTTTCTAACTTTTTGGATAGTATGTATTCTTTGTTGTGTGTGTCTGCTGTGTTCTCTGTTTCATTAGCTTAGAAGTTAGGTTGTTTGTTTTGTCTTAAAGGTAAAAGGAAAAAAAAAACATTCTCCCAGTCTGCAGATTGGCTAGGTTGGTGTACTCTTTAGGGTGCTTACAGCTTACTTTATCTAACCTGCCTTCAAAAAGTTCATGGAAAGTATGGTACTGGAGTGTTGAAATTCACGCATAGATGTTTTCATAGTACACCTTTTCCATGAACTTTTTGACAATTGCACATATTGCCTGCATGTTTTGAATCAGAAGGCCTTTCGGAGGTGAAAGCTTAGTCTTTTCAGTTCTTCTCTAAGCCCGGTTTCTTTCTTTTTCTTTCTCTCTTTCTCTTTCCTTCCTTCCTCCCTCCCTCCCTCCCTTTCTTTCTCTTTTTCTTTCTTTTTTTTAAAGATTTATTTATTTATCTGAGAGCCAGAGGCAGAGAGAGAGAGAGAGAGAGAGGTCTTCCATCTGCTGGTTCACTCCCCAGATGGCCGCAACGGCAGGAGTGGACGTGGGCCATCTTCTACTCCTTTCCCAGGCCATAGCAGTGAGCTGGATTGGAAGTGGAGCAGCCGGGACGTGAACTGGTGCTCATATGGTCTGCTGGCACTGCAGGCGGCAGCTTTACCCACTACACCACAGCGCCAGCCGCCATATTTCTTACTGTGGGCATGGATCTAGCCTTCCAGATTTCCTGGGAAGTACAGGAGCTTTTCAGAGCCCTTTTTTACCTTTTTCCTTCACAGGCTTTTCTGTGTTGCTTTCTCAGTTGTTGTCCTTTCCTCCATGCTGCTGTGTTTAATATCAACCTGTGCCTTTAAATGTTTTTAGGCGAAAGCTATCTGAGAAGTTTCTCCAGTCTTCGACATTATTCAGAATATGGTGAAACAAATGCCAGACTTTGTTCTGGTCCTTGAAAGAGTTGCCAGTCAGGTCAGCCAACACTCACAACCGAAGTTATTTGAAAATAAAGTCCATGTTGGTTCCTTTGGTACCTGCACCCTGCACCAGGTGTTCCAGTTGCCCTTCTCACAGCTACTGCTGATATGGGTGTGGGGAATGATAAATAGGCAATTACAGTATTTAGTGCCTGGTAGCAGCTCATTCTTCCCTAGCCTTCCCCTAGTTGATGAGTCTTTTATGTGAAAATTGATTTTCACAATGTTTGCTGGTTCATCAATTGCTTTGGAAAAGGAATAAATTCCCAGAGTTCCCCTTTAGTCATGTTTGATAATGCTGCTCATTGTGTTGTTACTACTTTCAGATTCTCCAATGTTTAAACCTCACGTCACATATTTTAGCAAATAATTATGTACTTTGTTAAATCATTTACTATTTTTTAAGATACAACCAAAATCAACTTCCTGAACATTATACAATGGATATATATTATTCTGTATTTAATTTTGACGACTGACCGTTTTCCTGATTGCATATATTCATTTATGTATTGTATCTAGCTTACTTTGGTAGAAGGCAGTATGAATTTTGAAAAATTCAAATTTAAAACTCATGTGAAACCAGTTAATCCAGGATGGCTTAGTAGACATTTTGCTTTAATGAATATTACATTTACATACCTAATTATTTTTAGCATTAGTTACCTTTGTTTTTAGCACTACAGTTACTAGGAGAGGATGGAGATAGACTTTTAAAGACCTTTAAAAGACTTGAGATTAGTTTACCTGTGTAAAAAGTTGATGAAAATAGAATTGAGTAGTATAGACTTTACCTTTAGAAGAAAATTTAGGAAGTTCTCTATTGTGCTAAAATCTTTAAAGAGTTCTTTCTACAGAAAATGAATCTTATCAAGTTACAAATTATAATGAACTAGCCCAGGATTATTATTATTTTTTAAAGATTTATTCTTTATTTATTTGAAAGGCAGAATTAGAGAGAGAGGGAGAGACACAGGGAAAGTTCTTCCATCAGCGGGTTCACTCCCCAAATGGTTGCGATGGGGCTGGGCCAGATAGAAGCCAGCAGAAAGGAGCTTCTACTGGTTGTGCCATGTGGGTGCAGGACCCAGGGCCTTCAGCCATTTTCAGCTGCTTTTCCAGGCACATTAACAGGGAGTGGCTGGAAGTAGAGCATTCAGGACTCAACCCACTGCCCACATGGGATCCCAGTGTCACAGGTAGCCACCTTGCCGGCTCTGCCACAACACTGGCCCCCAAAATTATCTGTCATTTTAAAGTTTTGGAGAATATTACTGTCTTACTACATGACATGACCTTTGTCCATTTGCTTGAATTTGAACCTAGTTTTAATGATTAGTTTCTTTTTAATGTAGCAAAGAGACATTTAACAAATGCTGAAACAGTTTTCGTTATTGGAATATATGTAGATATAACTAAAGCCAGTAGTCAGTATGACAAAAGAAAAGTTACAGATCCTGGAGAATTAGTAATATGATAATTTTCTATATAATTTGGGAATTGATTATATTCTGAATAGTGAAATTTTTATGTGTTTTCATTTTTTCAAAGATGTCAAATTGTAAGGTTAATTCCAGCAGTTATTTCCATGATCTTTATTAT